AATTTTAATTGTGTCCACGTCCACCACTTCCTCAGGAAGTTCATTCCACATGCGAATCACCCTGTTTGTAAAAAAATTATCCTTCATGTCTCTTTTAAATCTCTCTCCTCTCAAGTTACAAATATGCCCCCTGGTCTTGAAACTCCCATCCTAGGGAAAATTGTCTTACTATTAACCCTATCTATACCCCTCATGATTTTATAAAGTTCTACAACTACATGAGTTGGTTGAACTCCACTTAAGATTCTTCAGCTGGCTTTTGGCCTTGAAGAAAAGTTCCAATGAAAAGGAGTACCATTATTTCCTACTTCTCCAAAATGACAACATTTTTGAGGGAATGGTTCCAGACCCATTGGAAATCTTCCTAATGTGGCCTCCTGCGCAGCACAGCAGTAAACCCATCTGTATGCTGCAGGGTAGTGGGTCGAAATCTCAATTTGTAGGGTTATAGGGCGACAGAACAATGAGCTGGCTCCATGAACCTAGAATGGAGACAGGATATGTTCTCGTATAGCAATGCCAATATGCAAATTCATATGCACAGAATGTGGATTTGACTGTAAATCTTGTAACAAAACCAGATTTGGAAAGGACCTGCCAACAATCTATTCAAATTCAAATGATGAGAGATTTTCACAGGACAGAATAAGCATCTGCAGGCAAGGAACAGCAAAAAATCTCACAGCAGCTGCAGGTGGCCAGATTAATTTACAACATCCACTTGTTAAAATATATTGAGGGTTTTCAACATTTCTTGCCATCTTGCAGCGCTCCATATAACCCTGCTACTTCATACTGGATGTCAATAGCCTGAAAAAATTAAGGACAAAGGAAGATGCCATGGTCATCTCTCTCCATTAGAGAGAAAATGTTGGTTATGCATCGCTCAACAGTAATCACTGCACAAGCATAGGATAAGGTGAGGAGGTAGGCCTCCATGAATTACCGTAGCCACTCTGGCAACTGAACCAATGCAGTCGAGTTTATTTTGCACCACACTGTAGTGAACTGAGCTATCCAAGTCCCTATGAACAAAAGTATCTGTTTTGAAAACAAACGGCTCTCATTCACACCAAAACTATCAGTCAATGTTAATGTCCGTTTCAGAAGTATATGTGTGCAAAATATTCTTAGTTACCTTTCATTCTTCCTATTCTCACACTGTCAGTGATATCAACCTCTTCTACAGTATGGACTGTTTGTAGATTCACTCCCACAGAATGAACAACCTTAACGACTTTAACTGAACATTGTTTCTAATTCATTCACAATATGTGGGCATTGATGGTAAGCTGAGTAATTATTATCCCAAATGACCTTCAGAAGACAGCAGTGAACCATCTTCCAAAATCAATTGGTTTTGCTGGGTCATTTCATAGTGCAGTTAAGAGTCAAACACATTTCTCTTGGTCTGGAATCATATAGAGGCCAGACAGTGTAGAGTCAGCATATTTCCTTCCCTAAAGGATAGAAAAGTGAACCAAATGGATTTTAACAACAATGTTATAGTTTCACAGTCGTTATGAGTGGTACTAGATTTTTCTTTCAGTCACTTGGCAGTACAGAACTTGACTATCGCTGGAAAGAGAGACATGTTGCTGAAACTTTTCATTTTGCATTCATCAATTCCAAAATAAAGGAGAAAAGGGAGTGGGCTTGTTGGCAAGTTGACTCTAATTGATCAAGGCATTGCCATGAAGATAGCAATGGGGCACTGTAGGATCCCTAAATGCTTGGATTATTCCAGAAATCTGCAAGGCTTGAAAATATTCCTTTCATACCTTTATTTTCAACAATATTCTGGCATTTTTAATTTATGTTTGAACTCCCCAGTTAGCAACCAGCAGGGTGCCATACCCTCGTGCTGACTGTTATTACAATATTCAACTGAAGTATGTATTCTTAACCTGCACAACATTGTGACTTAGGAAACACTGCTGTATATCCATGCTTTTTGGGTGCTAAGTAGCCTCCTACATCCCCAACAAGAGTTTACCCTGACAAAATCTGTTTATGTGCCATCCAAAGGTGATCCTTACAAAACATAGCAGAGTGTAGATCGTGGGGAAGCATGGAAGCTTCCCTCAACCCTACATTCACTATGTGGGATTCTTCTGGCTGCAATGCTATCCAAACTACAATCACCACTCACCCCCTCTCTGATTGACCCCTCTCCCACACCTTAGTCTCTATGTCTTAAAGTATTAATTGCAACTTAGGAGCTAGCACTCTTACCTCTGAGTCATGTGTTTCTGGATTCAAGGATTGCTTGAAGAAATAACATAAAACTCAAGTTGGACTCTCTGCTGCACTAAAGTGGGAAAACTGCACTGATGGAGCTGCTGCTTTTTGCTTGCGAGTTAAACCAGAATCCTATCTGTGTTCTCAGGTGTAATATGCTCCTAGCTGATGTTATTTCTGTATAGCTCATATCTTAGATTGAAATCTGGCTAAATAGATCATATTTTCCACCAAGCAGAGAGAAAAAGAAAACCAGTTATTAATTCTTCTAACTGAAAGCAAGCTAATGCTCCTCAATGTTTACGCTATCCGTAGTAAAACATTCATATTACAAACACTTCCCATCATCACTCCAGGGATTTGTGCTCTGTTATACTGGTTTAAAAATATTAATGTCTCCAGATATAATTCAATTAATCATTAAACCTCCTTATACACACAGGTCAAATGCCATTAGTTCACAATGGGTGTAAATAATCTTATGGAACTATTTTGATGAAATGAATAGAAACTATTTATCTTTCAATCAACGTCACAGAGAGCATGCTCGCTGAACTGGCTTGTTTTTGTTGAGACGTTTCATCACCATGCTAGGTCACATCATCAGTGAGGCCTTCGACGAAACGTCTGAACTGGAACAAGCCAGCTCGGCAAACAAGTCAACAACCTCACCCACAACCTGAGCTACAAATCTTTACTAGAACCTTAAGTCACAGAGAACAGTTTATCTGGTCATTATCACATTGCTGTCTGTGGGAGTTTGTTGCGCATAGGCATAGCTTTTAAAAAGAAATTTGGACTTCCAATTAACTGTTGAAAGGATGGCTTTACATTTTAAGATTTTACAAACTTACCAACAAGGAACAAGAATAGGACAAATGGTCAATTGAGCCTTCTCCGCCATTTGTCAAGAACATGGCTGATATGATTTTGACATCAACTCTTTGTTCCTACATATTCTAAGAACCTTAGTCTTGTTTTGTAATCAGAATACATCTACCGCTGCCTTAAAAATATTTAAAGATTTTGCATCCATTGCCTTTTGATGAAGGAAATTTGAATTACCCATAACCCTTTGAGAGAAAATAGTTTCGTCATCTCTGTCTGAAATGAGCAACACCTTGCTTTTAAACTGTGACCCCTATTTCTAGATTCTCCCACAAGAGAAAACATGCTTTCAACAGTCACCCAGTCAAATCCCCTCAGTATCTTTTACATTTCAATTAAGTCAACTCTGGCTCTTCAAGAAGATACAGGCCTAGCATGTCGAATCTTTCCTCATAATGCAATCTGCTCATTCCAGGTATTAGTCTTGTAAACGTTCTCTGAACTGCTCCAATGCATTACCATCCTTACATAAATGAACAGTACTGTATTGTACTATAATAAAAGGCTGAAAACAGCACTATTGACTCTTTGCAGGTAACATATACATTAAACCATGGAATGACACAGACATCCATTCTTAATTTTAGTAAAACCATAAAAAAAATCTTCACAGGTAAATATTTTTAATTCATTCAAGAGATATTGGAATTGCTGCATAGACAATCAAGTATCCATCCCTAATTGCCCAAAGGATAGTTAAGAGTCATGCATATTGCTAAATGTCTGGAGTCACATGTAGGCCAGACCAGGTATAAATGGCATATTTTCTTCCCTAAAGGTCATTTGCAAACCAAATGGGTTTCTACAACATTTGACTATGGTTAATTGGTCACCATCAGGATCCTAAGTCAACTCCAGATTTTTTTACTGGATTGAAATTTCACCATTTAGCATGGCCCGTTTTGAACCTATGTCCCCAGAATATGGGGTTCTGGATTACTAGTCTAATGACATTATCACTACACCACCACTACATTGTCCTTAAATTGTCATTCAATTGTCCCTGAATCAATCCAAAATGATTTGTGGCTACCCTTCATTTCTTCATAGGCATTGGTACTTATATCCCCAGAAATGGTCTCCATGCTCCATGGTAAAAGCATTACAGGACACTTTACCTTCTAGTTAATACGAGACAAAATTTCTAGCCTCATTTGTTGGTCTTTCCAAACTAAGTGTGAGCTTCTGTCTGCATTACAATGCCATGAACCACAGCGTCCTGCTACCTTTAGCTGCCATCCCTCCCCTGGATCCTGGCAGACTAATTTGACTGTGAGATTTCAGAGGTATCTCACAGAAATCTTCTCCAACCAAAGCCCATTTCCATGGCAACATGAATCCCATGTGTCTTGTATTCAGGTAAAGATGCCAACAAGTTATCCCTAAGAGCCCGACTCACTTTTATCTTGGAGCCAAATGAATAGTTTAAAGTGTTACTGTTTAGAACCTGACATTCTCAACACTTTTCTGGGACTTTAGAGACTTGTAATCTATCCACAGTTATCACATAGTCTTCTGTTATTGTCTTGAACCTACTTCCCAATGAAACAAACTCGTCTTCTTTAATCTCTAACAGTCCCAGCACCAAGGCTACCTAACAGGCAGACTTCAGATCAGGACCCATGACCCCTTTCATTTTTCTGTAAATTAAAGACACAATCCAAAACATAATAATGTTAAAAACCTCATAATTGTAAGATAAGTTGACAGCTGTCATTTCCCACACGGTAATAGTGTTTACACTTCAAATGTACTTCATGGTTTATAAAGTATTTTGACATGCCTATTTTTCTATTCCCCCTCCTCAACCCTAATCATCATTGCTGCCTCCTGGCCTGGTTCTCCTCACTTACGTGCAATCTTGAATCAAGCCTCGACTGTTGCTGTCAGCAACTTAACCACTCAAGACTAATGGAATTTAAGGACAAACCTAAAGGCTGCTCTCGGGTTCACCATCCAGGTACCAAAAACGCTGAAATATCAAGAATGCCTTGATCAAGGTCTCATTATGCAGTGCTGCCAAAAATACATAGAATACTTTATCTTACATCGTATCTGACTTGTAGAGAAAAAAAGTGAGCTTAGTGACTCAGATCGTTCCTTTTTTGATCTTGTCAATTACATAATTATCATTTTTGTGTAGCTAGGTGAGTCACAGCTTGTTTCTTTTCCTGTCAGATTTCATTTCCCTTGCTCAGATGAAATATAAAAAAGTATATTTTCTATTGTAAAATGTTAAATGTTAGTCACTGTATTCAATACTGAACAAATATTATCTTTGAACATGTTACAATTCATGAGACATTTGTAACATTTCACATTGATAATATGTAATTATGAATAGTCATACTTACTTTTCAATTATTTTCACAACATAAAGCATTTTTTTATATTTACACATTTTAAAGTTCTATATTTGTCTTTTGTTGTTGGAATTTGCACCCTTTGTTGGCGTCAACATAAAGTAAATTTGCAAACTATTCTTAAACACACATGTATTCCCATTGTTCCCAGAATATGCACATCCATGCTATTTATTGTACAAGCATTCTGCAATGAAAATAATGACTTAACAAAATGCTATTTGTAAATTCTTAGTATTTGCATTTTTGAAAAAGGTAATGGGCAGAATCTTCCCATCCACAAAATAATGGCAAGAAAATTGGGGAAATCGGGTGATATTGGCAGGAAAGACAATGAGAAAAATGTCTTATTTTTCCAATCAAATCCTAAACAGCAAGATGAGAATCTCATCAGTAAGTGACAAGAGATCTATTTACAACTATGTGCATGCATAATCATATCATTTTTAGTTAATCTCACCTCATGATATGCAGTTTCACATTCTCCCACTGGCTGGATAGAAACCAGACAGCTTCAGCTCCCAACATGAAAGTCAGAGTGGTACCTGGCAACTCCAACTTGCTGCTTGCTTCCCTGGTCTTCCATCTTGGATAGCAGTCACCAACATCTAGGGTGCGGTACATGGGCAGCGAACACATGAAACTCCCATCTGCAGATGTTGGCATCAGACGTGGTACCAACCTCACTGCACCCTCCATGGAATAACTCAGATCCACTTGCAAGACAGTTCTGCACGTCAATGATGCACTTTGGAGTGGCTGGCACCTTTCATTGGAATTTTGCTGCCAGGACACTTTGCACACAGGGAGAGCTACCATCTCATGAATTGGGCCAAGGTGCATTTCAGAACTCCTATTTCCTCTCTCAGCACTCACTCAGTTTGCACTGACTGAGATACTCACAGTATCCCTCCATTGTCTTGCCTTGCCTTGTCTTGTGTTTTTGCACTTTGCCTCCACTAGCATGGCTTAAAGGCTCACAATGCATTTCCCTTGCCTTCCCTTTTAGTGAAGACACAAGGTCAGGCATCTTGTCATAGTTGTCAGCAGTGATCACTCAAGTTGGTGGACATGTTGCTTGCTGTACATCATTTTGTAATGTCAATCTCACACATGCGTCATGTGCCAGTGATAGACGTGGCAAATGCACAGCATATGCATAACCAAATGGTCATGTCTCAAAGTCTAAGGGGAGTAGTCCTCAGTCAACTCAAAGGAGTTGCCCTTTGGTCAGGAAACCCTCATGCAGTAAGTCAAGGGCAGCCTCCAATATCAGCCAAAGGGCTGAGACATGGTCAGTTGACTGCTCGGGCAGCCCGAGTCAGGGGGTCAGTACCTCTACAATCTGAGGAGTGCTACAGTCAGCCCTATGACTCCAGTGCTGCCAATCTGGGGATTCACTCAAAGTCAGTCAGGGAAATGCACAGAAATCAGTCATGAATCTTGACAATCACTAATCAGAGCTGACCACCCAAATTGGTCAAGAGGTGGGCAAAATGGCCTGTCCTGGGTCTCCATCAAGTGCAAGTCGATTGGGGTTATCGGGGCCGCTGCTGTGGGTGTGAAGCTGGGGATTAAAGGTAGGATGGTGAGATGCAGAAAGGGATAACAATTGTGAATGGAACAACTCAACAGATAAGGTGGGGGAGGAGTTGATAGAGCATGGAAAGGAAAATAGTGATGCAGGAGGAGTGATCGAGTATGCATTAAAATAAAAATGGCTGCCACCACACAGAGTGGGGCAGGGTAATTATTTCATTCTGTGAGGGAGGGGGCCTCCACGCTATGTGAGACCCTTCAATGGTGATAGTATTAAACAGGTACCCACACAATGCAGTTGAACAACACCTGCCAGCACAAAATGCTGCATGTGAACCTTTGGCATTGACCGACTGAATGGCGTTCAAACCCTGGGGCGAAGCATTCTTGACCACATCATGCAGCATCAGGAATCAGTGCCATTAAATGGCTGTGGTTCACAAGCAATGTATTGCTATCTGAAAAGATTCACCCTCATCACCAAAGTAGCAATTACCTTCCAGGTTCCATAGTCTGCACAGTGCAGAAGTTGCCACTTCACACCTTGGATCAAAAAACATTGTGTATCACTAAGGTTGTCTAGGTTTCAGTATTGTAGTTGCATCTAAAAAGGCACTTATTCACACTGCTGATGATGAATGGTAAACATATATTAACAGATGTGAAAATGTATTTACAATGAAATTTCACCCATCTACTTATGTGTCCTCAGAAGATTGTCATGTTTCTTTTCTTCTCACTATCTCTCAGTGTAGTTCAGGGTTTACAGCTGAGTGCAGCCCATTGGCCTTGCAGTTTTAGTCAGGAAACCTGAGAGAGTTTGTATTTATATGGCCCTTACATGCTGAATATGTACTGCCTAGAAGCAGGTGCACCCTCCCCAGCCTAAACTCCCACAGGGCTGAGGATGGCAGAAAGGGTAGAGCTGGAAGACCCAGCCATGTCTGGAGTGCCCTGAGGTCACAAATCACACGACACCAGGTTATAGTCCAACAGGTTTATTTGAAAACACTAGCTTTCTGAGCTGTGCTCCTTCCTCAGGTGTAGTGTGAAAGAGGAGGTATACCGACACAGAATTTATAAGCAGAAAGGTAACATCCCTGAAAATGGCTCACTGACTGCCTCCTATTGAATCTTTAATCAGTTAGAAAGGAGATGCAGGTTTATATTGATTAAAATGCAAATCCCATAATTTCTTTCAAGTCATTGCCCCGAGAAAATTAGAGGTTTTATCATTGTATACAAGAGGTGACATCTCAGGTCAGAAACGCATTCTAGGTATGCGGCCTTGTTTAGAATCTGTCTGTGTTTTAACCTGGAGTCAGGCTAGTCTTTTTTTGAATAAAATTTAATGTATCTGAAAATGTACAAACTTCTTGGATGAAATGATTCACCGCATAGATTTGTGTGTGTGTGTGTGTGTGTATCTATGTGTGTGTGTGTGTGTATCTGTGTGTGTGTGTGTGTGTGTGTGTATCTGTGTGTGTGTGTGTGTGTGTGTGTGTGTAAGCACACGTGCACAAGTGAGAGAGAGAGCACTATACCTGAGAAAGGAGCACAGCATCAAAAGCTAGAGTCTTCAAATAAACCTGTTGGGCTGTAACCTGGTGGCGTGTGACTTCTGACCTCCCAGTCCAACACTGGCACTTCCACATCATAGAGTGTCCTGCCAGGAGCTTTCTGAATGCCTATTTGTGGATCCCCCTCCGGCTGAGTGCCTAATGGCAACCAACATAATCAAAGACCCCTCCCACCCTGGTTATACTCTTTTCCACCCTCTTCCATCGGGCAGAAGATATTAAAGTTTGTATACACGTACAACTAAATTCAAGAATAGCTTCTTCCCCGCTGTTTTTAGACTTCTGAATGGATGTCTCAAATTTTAAATTTAATGTTGATCTCGCTCTCTGGTGCACCTTCTCTGCAGCTGTAACGTTGTATTCTTTGCTCTGTTCCATTACACTTTGCATCTTATATGGTATGATCTGCCTGTACTGTACGCAAAGCTAAACTTTTCACTGTACCTAGGCACATATGACAATAATAAATCAAATCAAACCAAATCAAATCAGATCAAATCAAATCAAAGATCCCTAATCTCCCCATTATCTTGCCAATGGTTAGAATGAGGGAATGCATGTCTGTATGTAAATACAGCAGACACTGAGTGTCTGACAAACCCCATCCTGTCTGTGGAGGTAGCCAGACACCTTGTATAGAGCATTGGTGGAGATCTCCAACCTTTGAGTCAGTTTTCCCATGCCACTAACATACTAGCCTGCTACTCCTGTGCATTTCAATGAAGTCATGAATTGCTGACACCATGGGATCTTTAAGATGTGACGGTGATGTACTCATTACAACGTGCTCCCGACTATAATTTGGCTAAATTACCTCCCTAAGTGTCACTATCTGAGCTGGTGATGGCTGCAGGAAGCAGCCTTGTCAGTGAATTGTCTGAAGGATTTGTGGCTTCTTCCTCAGAGCTGGAAGAGGAGATGTCTTGAAAGGCCGTCCTATTGATAGTGGGACTATGTAAATGCCACTGGTACATGCAGGAGGGAAAAAAGAGCGCATGTGTTGCCAAAAAGGAGACATGTTTGGGTATGTTAAGAATACATTCACATTGGCTGTAAAGACAAAGCAGTCCAGTAATGGACCATGAATCTTCCAAAGGTGCCATGTCATGGAGGTTTCAACATCACCACAGGAACAGATCATGGTCCTCACCAGACAGTGCCAGGATCCTCTAGGGCATCTTACCACACACATTGGCTCACACTGCCCTTTGTGGGAAGTTTTCTCCTGGAATGAGTGACATGAAAGTGGCTGGCACAGCTGTTAGTGTTGGCAAAGGTAGGAGAAGGATGACAAGGAGCTCAGAGTGAGTAAAAGGCAGCTGAAAGACCACGCAGCGTTCGTCGAGCGGGGTTTTCCAATGGCTGAGAGCAACTGAAGGAAGATGTTGCAGGCAATAGTAGGAGTGATAGACCATGAGCATTGAAGGAAAGTGAGTGCAGTAGCAGCGATATAGTGAGTGAGAGGCAGCAAAAAGAGCATGATGTCATTTACCCTTGCACAGCAGAGAAGGTC